TCGGTGGCCATGTTCGTGCTCCGCGGCGGGTTGGGGAGAGCTGAGGATGAGGAGCTGCTCCCCCTCGCTGGCGCCGGCGCTGCCAAAGGGTGTCGCGCGCTGCAAAATGGAGAGAGGCCATGGTCGCTTGCTGTCCCGGGGAGGGAGGGGAGGAAGAAATGTGCAGGCCGCTCAAGAAGGACACCCTCCCGGCTCCCCGAGCCCCATCGCCCACCCCACGGCCACCCCGGGGGACGTGTCCCCACACAGCTCACCTCCGCTGCTGCAAGCACGCCCCGCGGTGCCCGGCTGCCTGAACCAGGCAGGGCCGGGGAAGCACAGGGGATGGCTCCGGGACGGGCACCGAGAGCTGCCGACGGCAGCCCCCAAAGCACCACCCAGCACCAGGAGAAGCCTCGCTCCACCCTCCAGACCTTGCAGGCGCGCTCGGCAGGAGCGTGCCAGGCTGGGCCAGGCTCTGCCGGCGCCCAAAGATAAGCAGCGAGGGCCGCTGACGTCACAATCCACTGCCAGGTGACATCTACCTCCATCACACAGTGACGTCATAATGGGCCGGCCGCCCCCACGGCACTGGCGCCTCTGCACACACATGTGGGGCTACTGCAGCACCACTTTCCACTCCTTCTCCTCACCTGTGTCTTCTGCTCGCCATCGGTGTTTCATGCCAGTCACCAAGGTCTTGGCTGTGTCTTCTCTTCAGCCCCGCCAGATGCCCTTGTACTTCACTTTCTCCGGTCCAGCCTCCCAGCAGAATAAACAACTCAGCCCTGATTACTTTTGTCCCCATTGGTCCCAACTTGGCTACACCTGGCCCACATTTGGTATTTCAGACAGCATTATTTAGGCAACATCAAACTTAACTGATGTTACAGATACTGTTACTCCGGTGCTCTTCTTGCAAGACTCCACTTCCCAACGTCTCTCTAGTGCTCCCATTCAGTTTACCTGTGCGTACTGGCCATCTGCCGGGCAACTCCCCCTCACCAGCTGTGAAATCCAGCCATTCTCCACAGCGCTCTCTGAAACTTTTACTGGTTTCCTGCACCACCGCGAGCAGCAATTTCTGACGTTCGGCAATGGACCAGTCTGCAACCTAGTTATTTGTCTGCAGCCATAACTCCATTAACTCAGATCTCATGGTTTGACTTTAAACGAGTGGTCCTGTCCTCAAGACTCTGGTGAAGAAAAGCCCATTCTACAATGGGTAGCAGGGAAAAGCGAGAGTAACAATGTGGGTTTAAATTTCAAGTTCTGAGGGTTCATTTGTGATTGATAGGCACGGCCTACAATTACAGGTCTCATGGAGTCATATGCTTGCCATGCTGGTGAAGAGGGCTTTAAACTAGAGATGCCGGGGGAGGGCAACCTCAATCCATCCCACTCCTACCAGTTCGATGCCAGGGCCAGCAATAGATGCCCAGAGCCTGGAGAAGGAACACGGGTCAGCA